CTTCCTTCCTTCCTTCCTTCCTTCCTTCCTTCCTTCCTTCCTTCCTTTCTTTTATTTTTAAGAGAAAGAGAGAGCATGAGCGGGGGAGAGGAGTAGAGGGAAAGAAAGAGAATCCCAAGCATGTTCCATGCTCAGTGCGGAGCCTGACAAAGGGCTCGATCCCACGACTCTGGGATCACAACCTGAGCCAAAATCAAGAGTCAGACACTCGATGGACTGAACCATCCAGGTACCTCTACCCTCTTTAAATTTTTTTTTAATGTTTGTTTATTTTTTGAGGGGCGGGGGAGAGAGAGAGCATGCATGCAAGTGGGGAAGAGGCAGAGAGAGGGAGGCAGAGGCAGACTCCAGGCTCTGAGCTGTCAGCACAGAGCCCAATGCAGGGCTTGAACTCATGAGTCATGAGGTCATGACCTGAGCTGAAGTCGGCTGCTTAACTGACTGAGCCACACAGATGCCCCACCTCTACCCTCTTTACAAACAGGAACATGGGGGCACCTGTGTGGCTCAGTCAGTTAAGAGTCTGACTCTTGGTTTTGGCTCAGGTCATGATCTCATGGTTTGTGGGATCGAGTCCCACGTTGGGCTCTATGCTGACAGTGCAGAGCCTGCTTGGAATTCCCTTTCTCCTCTCTCTCTGCTCCTAACCCCATAGTCTCTCTCTCTCTCTCTCTCTCTCTCTCTCTCTCTCTCTCTCTCTCAAAATAAATAAACATTAAAAATAAAAACAGGAACATGGATGAGCCTCTCAGATTGCTCTGGTTCAGGTTTGCTGGAACTTCTCTCCCCCCACCCCGGCTTTGCCTTCATCTGCCTCCTCCTCACAGAAGTCTGCAGCGGCTGGCCTGGACGAAGCTGGGATGTGAACTCAGTGAGGCCATGACCACCATATTCTGGCCCCTAGTACCACACCTGCACACAACAAATGTTCAACCACATTCGTGGAAGAGCTCAGGAGACTTCTGCCTTTCCTTCCTTCAGGGAGTAAGAGCATGTGATAACAGTAACAACGGGTCAGAGCAGTCAAAGTTACTGTGTGTCCAGAACTGTGCTACCAGTTTGATGTGTTTCAGTCCATTAAATCTTAACAATGGCCCACAAGGTAGGTTTTTACCAGCCTCATTTTCTAGGTAGGAAAAATGAGGTTCAGCTGGATAAAGCTGGCAGGTGGAGCCGAGACCTGAAACCAAAATTCCCTTATTCCTAGATTTTCAAGCTTTGATCCCTCTAATTCTGTTCTTCATCTGTGACCACTCCAGGTATAAAGCAGTTGCCCCAGCTAATAGACGCCCTTTCTTAACCTCTGTATACC